TTCTTCTACATGTTCAGTTCATAGTAATTCTCCCTGGGAACATTGTAACTTTTCTCCCCTGGCACAGAAAATATCTCTACAAACAGTGGTCATCACGCTCTTTTGTGCTGGAAGAGGTATTGTTTTTCTTCTTAAATATTAAGTCTTTAAGGAATCTTGCTCCTGCATCAGTTTCATCCGTTTATGTAGCTTTCAGCTAAGTAAAAACACGAAACACCTAAATTATCCTCTTTCTGTCCAGTGCTTACTTGTCCTTTGTTCCTCAGGGCTTGGGAATTTCAGTCTTCTTCTATTTGAACACTAAGCTAGTACACTGTTAATTTTTAAAGTATTCATTCATTCTCCAAATATTTATAGTGCACATGTGTGTGCCAGGCAATCTTCTAGGTCTGATAATATGGAAGCGAACATAAACTCCTGCCTTCATAAACCTTACATCTTAAATAGGAAGACAGAAGACAACTGAATGAATAAGCAAAATTCAGTTTACTGTATTAAGAGGCATTAAATGCTTGTTGGAAAAACAATACACCAGGGAATTGTGATAAGAAATGTATATGTGGGTACTGTTGTGTGTATTGCAGGGGGATAGGATTTTGCACTTTTAATAGGCACCTAGAGAAGGTCTCAGTTGAAGGGTGAGGGAGTGAGCCATTGATATCTGAGTGAGGAATATTCCAGGTGACAGGAACAGGAATTTAAAGGCTCTAACCTGGGAGTATGCACTGGTGTCAATGGGATACTGGGAGGAAGTCGCAGTATAGTTAGTGAGGAAGACGGAGGAGGTAAGTAAGGTTAGAGAGAAGATGGGTTCAGGCTGGGCAGGGCCTTGTAGGCATTTTACATTTCATAAAGTCCGTATTGGAGGTCTCTTCATAAATGCAAACTTTATTCCTCATGGACCTCATGACCATTACTGTTCCTGTCCCCCCCCCCCCCCCCTTCTAGGGGCTGCTGACTTTTCTCCAATGGGCTAAAGGACTTTCCCCTGAGGGCTCCCTCCCTTCACTTTCTCTTCTCTTCTCCTTTTCCTTTTCCTGTTTCTTCTTTCACAATTGATCTCAACAAATATGGTATCTTATACTTATTTACAAACCTTTTCCTTGTATCTATGATAACCCCAGGGTATCAAGTTTTCTAAGGACATCGCATTTTGTATTCATTCTCAGGTCAAACAAGAACATGCACACTTAATAAATGTTTGCTGCAGGCATGGCAAGAGTGGAACTTCAGGACCATTTTCTGATTTCCAGCTGTTTCCTTTCTTACTTGGCTTTAGGTGCATGACATAAATCAGACTCTCTCCTTGTGAACTGTCGGTCCATTTCTTCCATTATTTTTTTAAAGTTTGCTTCCCGGAGAAACACAACTTTCTGTTCACTCTTCTCATGAGTTACCCCTGAGATCGTCCCAGGCAGCGTATCTTTGCTTGCTTACTGCCTTCACTTTGTCTTTGCTTCTCTTCGGCACCCTCGTCACCTCAGGGACACTACAGATGGTTTATGTCTAACTTTGTGTACACATCCTCAATTGATGTTTGTTGGTTTTTCTGTTAGCCCTCTAGTGGAGTACAAGGGGGTTGCAGAACCCTCAATTTACAGCTAGAAACGATTCCGTGTAGTCCAACATTGCTTGACACATGAAGAGGCAGGGCTTTCCTCTTTGCCTCACATACATAAAGGTGGAGTGCACAGCCGCATAGTTGGGCTGCCATTTGCCTGAGGTGTTATTTCTTCCTCTCCGGAAAAGGAATGGTGATGTGAACTTTTGGGTCACCCTAGGTGCATTGTTACATCGTTTTTCCCATTTTCTACTTCCTAAATGATATTCAGAATCCCATTTTCTCTGTGAAAACTTTCTGAATAACCCCAGGCAACCCTTCATTCTTTCTCCCTGCTCTGAGTTATTTTATCCTTCATAGTTGATACTGCTTATTTTGACGTTCACCAACAATGTCTAATACGTGCATATTTATTTACACATATATTTATATTTACTTATATTTCTTGTTCCTTCCATTAGGTTGTTAGGTCCTAAGGGCAGAGTAACCCTCTCTCTCTCTCTCTCTCTCTCTCTCTCAAAATCTATTCTGGGGCACCTCGGTGGCTCAGTCGGTTAAGCGTCCGACTTCAGCTCAGGTCATGACCTCACAGTTTGTGAGTTCAAGCCCCGTGTCGGGCTCTGGGCTGATGGCTCGGAGCCTGGAGCCTGCTTCAGATTCTGTGTCTCCCTCTCTCTCTGCCCCTCCCCCACTCACACTCTGTCTCAGTCTCTCTCTCGAGAATAAGTAAACATTAAAAAAAATCTATTTCTTTCTCCTTGTATGCACAACACAAAGTGATGATTTTTCTTTTTTTTATTTTTGAGAGATAGAGATAGAGAAGATAGATAGAACCAATGGGAGAGAGGCAGAGAGAGGGGGACAGAAGATCCAAAGTGGGTTCCTTACTAACAGCGGAGAGTCTAATGGGGGGTTTGAACTCTTGAACCACAAGATCATATGACCTGAGCTGAAGACTTAACCAATTGAGCCACCCAGGTGCCCCAAGCAATGATTTTCTTAAAGTGCTCAATAGTAAATTTTAAAAATGTCCACAGAACATGATCTTTTTATTCAAGTTCTCTATTTATTGCCCTACCGTTGGAATTACTGATATGTCATCTTAATGCCCCATTCCTCATGGACTCCTGTCTCCTAGTTTTTTTGGGAAGGGTTCATCACTATAGACCCAGGAAAATCAACTTTGATCACTTATTTCATTTTCTGTGTATTTTACTTTTCTTGAAATCTTCCCCATGCAGTTGTTTTTCTTCATAATCAGAGTAAAACAACTTGTTTCTTCATCGTTCTTCCTTCCTCTGAGTTATCTTCTTCTATACCATGATACACATACAAGGATAGCTTTTGTAGTTCATGTACCTTGATTTTCTGCAAACTTCAACTTAATAATTGCTCCCCCTTAACAAAAAAAGTGGTTCTTATTCAAGAACATTTTACAGATCTAATGCAAAAGTGATATACATTTTTTGTGAACAATTTGAAAAAATTACCCATTAAAATAGTCTGAAATACAATTTCCTGAAGTTAATTATGCTTGTGTGTCTTGTGTGTGTGTGTGTGTGTGTGTGTAGTAGTCTACTTCTCTTCACAAATGTATAATATACATCCTGTCTTATTCTTTTTAAAATTTTTTAATGTTTATTAATTTTTGAGAGAGAGAGAAAGAGAGGGAGAGAAAATGAATGAGTGGGGGAGGGGCAGAGAGAGAGAGAGAGAGAGACAGACAGACAGAATCTGAAGCAGGCTCCAGGCTGTGAGCTGTCAGCACAGAGCCCGATGCAGGGCTAGAACTCACGAACCAGAAGACCATGACCTGAGCTGAAGTCGGACGCTTAACCCACTGAATTACCCAGGTGCCCCTACATCCTGTCTTATAAGTCATTTTCCCCATGGCATTAAACTGCCTTCTACTCTAACATATTTACATTGTTTTTCATATTACTAAAACAATGATTATTTATTGGATAAGATATAAATAAGAAAAAGAAAATAAAAATTGCTTATAACCAACTACTCAGGATAAGCACTGTTCATGTTTTCATCTATGTAGCATATAGTGAACTGTATTACATGTCACAATATATTTTCCAATACTAATTTTTAACATATTAGGACAACATGTTAGAACAAAATTTTTCCCTATGTATATTCAGTGATTTGTTTGATCAAATTAGATTACTAAATATATTAGTTCCCAATGCTTTTTTCTTACAACTCTGCAATTAGCTTCACTTTAGAAATATTTTGATTTATAGTCCTGTTTTTATTTTTTTAATCTTGATAAATTCCTATCCTAAATTGAACTGCTAGGCTACGATATACGTTGCTAAATTGTCTTCCATATAACATGCATCCATTTACATGTGAATTGGGGTTAGAGTATATGTGAGTGCTCATTTACATGATATCTTGATATTACAGTTTTACCATGATTTTGTTTTAGTTTTTCTTTTCTTTTCCTTTTTTTCTTTTCTAAATTAAAAGGCATAATGAGCTATCATATTATTTTGTAACTTAATATTTCCTGAAATAATAATGAAATATAAAAATTTTAAAAGAGTAGTGGGCTTTTGTATTTCTTCTTTTTGGGGACTGCTTATTCTCATTGATTAGGATATTTTTTTCTTATTTATTTTGGAGTAATCTCTTTATAGCAAAGTTGGTAACTGTCATATAGGTTGTAAATGGTCTTCCTGGTTTATTTTAAATTTACCTTTTATATTTCTCATAGTGATTTCTGATATGTACATACTTTAGCTAATTTATAGATTTATTTTGATATGTGTATTCAGGAAGGCTATTCTATACTTCAGACTCGGTAAACATTCACTTTTTTTTTTAATTGCAGTGAACTGGGTATATGATGTGAGGGTAAGCAAGGTTTTGCTTTTCTTGAAATGATACAAACTGCATTTTCTACTATTATTCCTATTATTCTATATATTATTCTTCACAGATTTGAAATTTATTTTGTAAAATACATGCACGAAATAATTCTTTCAGGTTTACACAGCCTCACTCTTTTTTCTCTTTGTCTATTTATTTTGCTTATATAATGTAATTCATCTTTCTTCATTTGATTCCTGGCTAAGTTCATTTTTCTAGAGTCAAGATGTCGGTGTGTTACGCTTTTGGCATCTGTGTAGGAAAATCCTCCCTTCCCTGCCCTCCCGCCCCACCCTCGCCATCCCATCCTTAAATTACAGAAGGCCATTGTCCCATCTCACTTTTGCCCATCTCCTGACTTTCTACCATGGTAATCTAGTAAAGACCTCCGAGTTCTGTGTGACTTTATTATTTCACCTCCCATCCCTTCCTTTCCCCCCACAATGCCAAACAATTGTTCATGAATTCATTTTGCACCAACTGCATCACTTGTCCACACTCTTTGTAAACCCCCGAAAACCATTATTTTGGCTTCCGGCAAATCACAACTTACTTTTGCGCTGTGTGGTCGAGTACCTGGCCACTTAGTCTCTTGCCCGGCGTCTTCGAGCCCCGCGCGCTCGGCTCGTCCAGCGACTCCTGCGTGTTCCGGTTCCTGCCGTGTTCCGATTCCGTGTCGTGCAGTCTCTTCCAGCTCCGCGTGCGCTGTGTGCTGTCGCGTGTATCTTCGTGGTAACGGAGCGTTCTCATTTGGGGCAGTACAAGGGCCGTATTTTTCCCCGCAGCTGAGTTATTCCCTTTGTGCCTCACCAATTTTAAGTCTTTAAATGTACTCCAAGGTCATCTTTAAAGCCCTTTCTGTATCTCAGCTGCTTCACGTTCCTTCCACCTCCACCCGGTGTACGTCAATCGTGTTCTTGTTCTTCGGGCCCAGGTAGTTCACCGGATTTACGGCAGCTACTTTTTGTCTCTCTTCAGGTGAGTCTGCTTTTGTTCTTCACACTCTTCTAAGGATGTTTTTGCTTTTTTATCCAGGTGTCCTTATTTTCCGTCTACCTTTTGATAAATGATTTGTTTTCCCTTTACTTTTTTTTTTCTCGCTTAGTTTTTCTCCGTATTGTGAAGTCTCTTGCATTTCACACTGCAATTTTCTTTTTATCCAGTCTCTTGTCACCTTTGTGTCTGAAGAGCATTATGTCTTGTTTAATCTTTCATGTTATTGCAGCTGAGCTAAATCACCTTTGCTTTTCATAAATGATCCATTCTCCCTTTTAAACCATAGTAAGTACTTTTATATATATTTACTTTTTAAAGTGATGGTCCATCTGATTTTTTTTTGTACCTAATATTCTTTTATTTTGCTTCAACTTGTTTTATAAGTCTGTCACTCTCCGCATTCCTCAATTACTTGTGGATTCTGTATTTTTCTCTTTTAAATTCTGAAAACATACTGGCTTTCTAATAGATTCAGAGTGTATTATTTTTTTACTCCTTAAATCCTAAATTGCTTTATTAATTAAAAATAATTTATTCAAATGGAGACTTACAGAATACCTATTTATTTATCCACATGCCGAGAACAAAGAGGAACACACAAGAAGTGTTGGGGGAATATTAATCTGGTCTATATGAGCCAGGGAAGACTTTAGAGAGGGTAAGAATTTGAGCAAGATTTAAAGGATTGATAGGTTTTGGGTGGTTTAACAAGAGGAAAGGTTGCCAAACACCACAATTTTTCTTTTATGGTTTAGACAACAATTCACAGTTTTGGAGACAGACCAAACTAAAGTGATTCAAAGACAGTCAGGCACTAACAATCACCAGCATATCAGTTCCATTTATTTTCAGTGAGAAGATAGAGAAAAAGGATGCAGGAAAAAATGAACTGAAAAATGAACTTTAAAACCATTAACATGAGGGTAATCCCTTTAAAGGATTACAGCCATATGTGTCAGGTGGTTAGAGAGCTACAACCTTTCTCTTGTCACCACTTTTCTTACTTTCTGAATCGTTGTTGCCTTGTTTCCACTTTTTATCTATTATGCTACATTCATCATCGACCAATCTGTAAATCAATGAATACTGTTCAGAAAAATGCCATGTGCTGTGGGAGATACAAAAAGGACTGCTTTCAAGGAGCTTTTAGTCTCATACAGAAGCAAATAATTAAACTTATAATTTTGAATAAGTTTAGAACATAAAATGAAATGATAAAATATTGATGAAGCTGTAAGGCTGTATGAATTCAGAAAATACAAAAAAAAACCCCATCAAAATTCAGAAAATAACTGGTGGTGGAATTAATCAACAAAGTTGTTATGTAGATACAAAAATGTAGCTGGACCTTGAGAGGTACAGGTAAGTAGAACAGAGCAGGAGAAAATTCTAAGGATATTAATATCTAAAGATAATTACATGTCTTAGCTCATGAAGTCAGTGATGAGCATGACATATACATCCGTTAACTTGTTAATTTATCTAACCATCAAATATTGAGCATGTTTTACATGCCCAGTTTTCTTTTCAGCTCTGAAATTGGTGATATAGCGATGAATAAGATAGACGATATCTTTGCACAAATGAGGTTTAGATGCTCTGGAGAGGCTCTACTCAATAAAGAAAAGAATAAGTGAGCAGAGAAGCTGATATTCATTCAATAGCAGAAGTGCTATGAAGAACTTAAATAGAATAATGTGATAGGGAGAGAGTAAGGAAGGAATATAATTAGTTTGGGTAATTGGGAGCTGCCTCCAAATGATGAGAACACAGCCACATGGAAATGTAGACAACATATTCCAGAGAGTGGGAGAAACACTTAGATAGAGCTTAAGGCATGAATGTGATTGGATTTGTTGTAAGAATGGAAAGAAGAGTCATGGTTGAGGTAGAAGGTAGTAGGAAATAAGATATGAGAGGTAGATGTGCGCAGACCATACAGGGCTATTCTGGCCATGAAAAGTGTCTTTGGTCATTGAATGCACCCCTTTGTGAATTGTTTGTTCAAAATTATGCCCATTGTTTTTGATAAGTGTGGTTTTCTTTTTTTTTAATTATTTAAAAGTTTGTTTTAATATGTACTGAGAGAGAGAGAGAGCAAGAGAGGGGCAGAGAGGGAGAGAGAGAATCCTAAACAGGCTCTGTGTCATCAGAATGGAGCCCCACATGGGGCTTGAACCCACAAACCTTGAGAGCATGACCTGAACTGAAATCAAAAGTCAGATGCTTAACTGACTGAGCCATACAGGCACCCATTGTTTTCTTATTATTATCCTGCTTGAAGTTTATATAACTTCTTAAATTTTAGGCTGGATAGATGCCTTTTATCAGTTTTATAAAAATCTTCAAGCAAAAAATCTTTTTAAAAAAAACATTTACTTATTTTGAGAGACAGAGAGAAATAGAATGTAAGCTGGGGAGGGGCAGAGAGAGAGGGAAACAGAGAATCCCAAGCAAGCTCCACGCTGTCAGCACAGACAATGTGGAGCTTGAACTCATGAACCCTGATATCATAACCTGAGCCGAAATCAAGAGTTGGACGCTTGAGTGAGCCAAACAGGCACCCCCAAATTATCTTTTAATATTGCTTTTGTCTAAATCTTTCCTCTTCTTCTGGACCTCCCATTACATATGTGTTAGGCCTCAGCACCCTGTTCATATGCTTCTTAAATCATTTCCTATATTTTGTACCCTCTTATTTCTTTGTGCTTTGATCTGTTTCTATCAAATTTTTCATATAGTTGACTAGCCCTAATTCTTTCTGCTGTTTTATTTATTGAGGATTTTTTTAGGTGTGTAATTTCTATTTGATATTAAATAGTTGTTTTAAAGTCTCTTTGCTTGAATGTATTATATGGTTATTTTAAAGTCCTTGTCTGTCTGCTTCAATATCTGGACTACTTGTGGGTCTGCATATATGGTCTGTTTATTTTTTTAATTCATGATCATAATCCTACTTCTTGGTATGCTTGGTTTTTGTAAATTAAATGATGGATATGGTATACTGACAATTTTAGAATCTTCAGGAAACTCTCTTTTGGCCTGGAGAGGATTTGATTGTTTTCTGTCAGGGAAATAGAAGACAGACAGATCATATTTAGTGAAGTCAAATCCCTTTTGAGGTTGCCTTATTCTTAGAGTTCAGTTTACTATAGGTCTTAACTGACCTGAGATGTCTATCGTGGGATGTCTATCGTGGCCCTTGTTCATTAATGACTCTTGAACTCTATATCCAGTACTAGGAAATTGCTGATGTTTCTGTTTGGCTTTTTGACTTCTTAAAGTTGCTTTCTATTTTGTTGGTTGGGAGAAGGATCTGGACTATGGGTATAGATTTTGAATCATTGGCATAGATGTGTTAACTGAAGGTTGCCTGGGTGGCTCAGTCAGTTAAGCATCTGACTTCAGCCTAGGTCATGATCTCGCTGTTCTTGAGTTTGAGCCCCACATCGGGCTCTGTGCTGATAGCTCAGATCCTGGAGCCTCTTTTGAATTCTGTGTCTCCCTTTTTCTCTGCCCCTTCCCCACTCCTGCTCTGTCTCTCTATCAAAAACAAACAAACAAAAAAACAAAAACAAAAAAGGTTAAGTGAAAGCATGCAGAAAGAGAAGAGTGTTTTGGACAAATGTGGAAGGATTAAGATGGAAAAGTAAAGAGAGACAGAACTTTGAGGAACACCAACAATGCACACATGACTACTGTAGGACTAAGAAGCAAAATACAGTAAGAAGAGGTAAGAGGAGAAGCCAAGAGTGGAGTTTAATGGAAGCCAAAGACAGAATTTCATGAAAATGTTCTCAAGTTTCCAAAGACTGAGATATCCAAGAGCCTGGGAACTGTGAAGGGTAAACAAAAAAAAGAACTGTGGAGGGTTTATTCATTCTGTTTTGCAAGCTAACAAGTCAGTCTACCACAATTTCAAGGTACTGATAGAAGCCATGAGACTCTTGAGTCAGAATACAAAGGACTATATTGTCTGTGACTGAAAAGACGCCATGAACTTTGCATTTGCATCTGCTCTCATGTCTTCCAAGTTCCGCGAGGCAGTGAAGAGTGGACCCAGGTGATGCTGCACACACCGTGAGTGTACATGACAGGTATGGATCTTGACCCCAATCTTTTAACATGTACTGTGAGCAAAATTACCCAAATTTTCCTGGGAGTGAGATATTATCTCCAATATACTGGGTAGCAAATAACATGCTTACTTCTAAGAAGACACGGTATATAGAAATCTTTGAAAAGATATTCCACAACAAAAAGCTATCAGTGTCTCTGTTCTCAAGATGTGCAAAAATATGAGAAATTCCTAGAACACTGTCTCCTATAAAAGGGAGAGACAAAAATAGTTACCAACAAAACTAATATTTAGTTATGTATCTTGTGCTATTATTTATCTCATTTACTTGTCAAAACAACTCTTAGGTACTTTCCCTTTTTGTCTTCGTTTTACATATAAAAGTAGATACTGGTGAACTTGTCCTAAGTCCCACAGGTAGCAAGTGGCAAAGCTGTATCAACTTGAATACTCTTTGAAGTCCTACCGTGTCCTGACACACGGTCTATGCAAAAAGGGTGTAAACCACATTCATTGGCTATAGTAACATCATGGTCACTGGTGACTTCACTAAATGTCATT